CTGAGAAGGATGAGGACCTGGGACCATTAGGAGCCGGGATGGGTGGATTTGATGGCAGTATGTTACAAAAGAAGAAAACTCCAGAGGAGACCAATAGTGACAGGTTCCACTTGATATTAGGTGAGCTGCCTTATAAGTTAGAATATTTTCTATAATGCTAATACGGTATGACTGCATTCAAGCTGTGGAAAATACTGAAACTATTGAAAGAGTTACAAGCTTATTATAATGTAGCTTCTTGATTTCCTCTTCTGCAGGTATATGTATAGAAGCCCTCTGCTCACCCCATGCTAGCCAGCCCCTAGAAACTGTCTCCACTTGTCTACATGCTATGCACAAACTCCTGGATGCACCATGGCCCCGGAGCCAGCTTGTAAGGGACCGAGCCATTTCCATTGAGGTTCTCAACGTTCTGCACAGACTGTTGTTGACCCGGGATGCCCTCCCCATCCAGCTAGCAATCATGTCTGTGGCCAGACAAGTCATCTTAGCTGCCAAGGAACAGTTACAGGAGGACAAGAAACAGCTTGGTGAGGAGATTTATGTTCATTTAAAACAATGGCCTCAAGTATAAGCCTGGCTGCAGAAATGAATATCTTGTTACAAAATCCTAGGTTTCTTATTTGGTGCCACGTATCAGAAGACTAGGTCGTTGAAGGGACCACGCTATAACTTTGTCCTTTGCTCTTCATTACAAGAATCCAAAGAAGAAAAGGCTGAGCAGCAGGATGCCACAGCAGCTCTGGGGGAGGGAGGAGACAGTGGAGACATTGTCCCAGGGAAGTCCTCAGTGTTTGCAGCCCTGGAGGTGTGCCTGTGTGTGCTGATCCGACAGATCCCAGCCCTGAACCCCTCCATGCCGGCACCCGCCCAGCTGCAGAATGGGGGCCGGCGGCTGGGGCTAGGGGAGGAGGCCAACCAGCTGGTGTCGGCTGCTGTAGCCATCATGGCAGATCTACCACAGCTCTGCTCCCCTAAAGGTAAGGCAGGCAGGGACAGGAGATATCACTAGTACGTTACTCATGATGTTGTCAACCTTACCATACATATATGACTTATTGCATATTTAGATACTGCATGGGTCTTGTGTTGCTCACTGAGTTTTTCTGCAGCATGTATGAACATAGAACTATGTCTGTGCTGTTTGATATCATATTCTAGAGTTTAAATATTCAATCTCACACCAGGAAACCATGACTTACTGAAATTTTGCTATATAGCTTTGGCCTTCTTTAGAATGAATTCCCCATTTCTACTGGCAAGACTTAACTCACACAACTCTAAAATTGGGAGCCTGGAAGTCTGTACCACCTGCTGTAGATAGTTGGCCCCAGTATCAGATATCTGACTGCCCTGGTGATGTTCCTGTTGTGCAGGGAGTGTGTCCGTGTTGCCCACCATCCTGTTCCTGACCACGGGGGTCCTGAGAGAGACGTCCTCCCAGGCAGGTGATGCCAGGTTACCCCTCCCCGTCAGCACGGCTCTACAGAGTCTGAAGTCGCTGGCCTCCAGCCCCCTGGCCAGGGACGACACGTGTGCAGCAGAATGGACCAGGCTGCTGCAGAGCACACTGGCCACCATACTGGACTTCTCCAATAAACAAGGTAACCTATAACTTTACAGTATGTCAGAAAGGTGATTTATTGAATCAATGTCTGGTGAAGGACAATAGCAGAGTACTGGTAGTTTGTTGTTTAGATTAGTTAGGTATTTCAAATTTTGTTAACCAAATTGTCCCAATCTGATGAGATTTAGTCAAATTATGTACATTGAGACTGTCCACATGTTGTTGGAGGAATGCACTAGCATAACTTTAAGGTACTTAATGGTAAGCAGGACTTAGGTGATGTCTACCTCAGCCTAGAAATACATCATATCACTTGAGGATGTCACATTGCTTTCTTAGCTGAGTTGTAATGAGATAGCAGCTCCCCTGCAAATCTCTCCACCTGTACCTATTGTATTTCTGACAGATGGTTCCGGATCAGGTGTGGAGCAGGTGACCACACTCCTGGCTCTGGCCATGCTCATCATGGCCTCCCCACAGCAGGTCACCACGCCACCCAACCTGCAGCAACAGTGCATCGATGCCTTCAAAAAGGCCTGGCAGTCTGACAATCCACAGGTATCTCACATGGAAACTTACGTTGAGCTACTCACCCTAACCCTCTTCCCTTCCATCTGTTATTGGAACATAAAGAGTTTGCTCAACATACTGTTGTTTTGGCTCATTCAATTTTGCAGCAGTTATTTAGCCTAACAGTCACATTGAAAGTTCTCCTCTACTACTCCCTACTCATGTACAGCTGCAGCTGAAGTGCCTGCAGACCCTCTCCTCCATCTTCCAAGCAGACGTGGTGGTGGCCACGCCCTACATCCACACCATGGGTCCCCTGGTGGTGGAACGTCTGCAGGAGGCCAGCAGGAACAAGCCCAGCACAGAAATGGAGCTGGCCACTGTTCTGGAGGCCCTGAAGCTGCTGGAGACATTAGTGGCCATGACAGAGGACCACCTAAGTAAGTAAAGTTCAGCCCAGCATGTCTACTATTCTACTATTGTGATATTCAGTATGATGGCAAAACACATTACTGCATTTTCATCAGTGAAGGCAATTAAGATGCTGAATGAGCATATACTTTTGCTAGACACTAACCCCATGCCATCTCTCACTTGTCAGGAGTCCATCTGGTCAACCTGCTAGTCCCCATCCTGGTCAGTTATCTGGTAGACTCAAGCCTACTGCAAAGCACTGGAAAACTGTCTCGGACTCTCCATGAAAAAGCATTGCAAAACCTCTTAAAAATAGGGCCCCAGTATCCCGCTGCCTTCAAGAGTGTGATCACCTCTGCACCTGACCTGAAGGCTAAACTTGAAGCAGCCATCAGAGCCAGCCAGGCTAGCAAAGCAGCTCCCACCAAGCAGTCTAAAGCAGCAGCACAACCTGCACAGCCCAGTATCAAACTTAAAATGAACTTCAGCAACTTCACAGGGTAAAGAATTTTCCGTGTAGATTCATGCTCAGTGTAGGTAATAGTGTGCAGAATGGAGCTGTGCAATGGCTATATCAAGTGCCATACATCTGTGTAATTACTAGTACATGTAACTAAAGAAAATCTCAGCAAAGCTATCATTGAGACATTCTCTGTATAGATTGATGGATGGTAAAAAAAAGTGAACTGTTGAACTACAGCTGTATAGGAATGTAGGTTTTATATATGTTTTGTATTGTACTGTTGGAACCTGTCCAGTTCTTTGGATTTTGTTCCTGATATAAGCTGTATGATACTTAAATCATGTTTTAAATGATTTGAAACTGAAACCATTGATTTTATTTTCCTTTTATTTTGAAGTGCGTACAAGGGAAATTCATTTTATGTCATTTATTGAATTTCAAGCTGACTGTGCTGTTATTTTTCTTTATCTAGTTCTGTCCTGTGTTACTACATGATAGTCTGCTTACTAAGGCAATCGGTTTCCCATTTTATCAGGATTATTATTACGAAACAAGCAATTCGGATGAAGCAGCAATTAATTAGGTAATGTGGAACTTCTGCATATTGTTCAATACTAGAACAGTTATGATCTCAAGTGATGGGGTCCTTATAGACAGTTAAGAGACAAGCAGGATGATAATAAGATATGAAGTCCCTTAAATATTCCCTGACAGAAATATATGTACATAGGTTCATTTGCACCAGCATTCCAAGATTTTTCTTCTGCTTTCTTAAAGTTACGAACATTTGGCCCCTTTGACATGTAATGATGGTGAATTGCTGTGATGCAGACAGATATGGGTCCTGTAAACATAACCACATTGTGTATTCATTGGCATAATGATGTGTACATTAGTAGATACACTCTTGTTGCCTTCTGCACCAATTGGAAGCGAGGATGAGGGTACAGTTGTAAAACTACTGGGTAATTACAACTATTTTCCCATGAGTCACGTGGCAATGATGATGATGACAATGATGATGATGATACTGTCCTCTGGTTCATCTGGGCTCTCCCAGTCCTAGTACTTTTCCATTGGGGTCTGTAAATATTCAGTACATTTTCAAATGTCAGTAGTATAATTTATCATCATCCTGCCAAAAGTAGTAGCAGATGGAGTTCTCGTAAAATGTGCTGTAATGAAACCAGTGGGAAATCTTGAGTGGAAATTGCATCATGACTGACCAGCCTCAGTACCACACTCTGCAACACCCTGCTGTGAATGTCAGTTTAGCTTCCCTACTGTTTATAAGTATTACGATGTAAATTATATACATGTATGTATAGATAGAGTTCAAGCATGTAGTAGCTATCAGCTTACAGTTGGATGTAAAAGAAATAAAGCTGTGGGACCTGTATTAACCCTGTCCAGACAATAGGAATACATCTTTGTTGTAGATAAAGCATGTTAGGGCAGTGGTACTGAGGAAGGCCATGATACTAGAAGCATCAGAATAAGAACAAGTGGGATGAAGGTCTGGTTCTGTACCTGGCCAGTATGTAAAATGCTGCTGTAATTGTAGAAATTTTAATGGTGCTGTTGTGAGTGGAATAAATCCTATATTTTACATTAAAGATGATGTAAGAGCAGGCATTGTATCTTTTTTTCATTTGTTGACGGATTTTTATGAAGGCATGATCAACAGCCGATCTACTAGTTATTTTACCCTGATGACCACAACTTTATCTCCAGATAGAGAACCTGTTAAAATGGTGCTTACCTCACCATTTTAGACTAGTCAAACTTACACACAGGCAACATCTGCATTTTAAGTATTGGTATCCAACAGGTATAGGGGAAACCTGCTAAATTAATCAGCCTCAGCTCATTTCTGTGCACTACATGTTTCTGTGCAAAGATGCCTGTCCTTGGTGCTGAACTGCCCACACACGATCAAGGGCACATTACACAGTTCATTGTTTATGGGCACCTACTGGGCTTAATACTGTGTTTGAATATGACCAGATGACGAAGTATAAAATATATGTTACCATGACGTCAATATACATGTACTATTTATTGCTTCAACTCAAATATAAAAAAAGCAACATGTGAATACAGATCAGTTGCATTGTATTGAGTAGACTTTGTGATACCATGAGAAATATATCATAAAGGATATGCAACACATGTATCACTTATGACTAATGTTCACTGGGGGCCAGAAGGCATAAAACTAAGAAGGCAACAATCTTAGATACCCCCCCCCCGGATATCTTGGACAGGTGTTATAGGTATTCACAGGAGTTAGCTTTAAGTCAAGACTTGGACCCTGGCTCCTGTGCTGAAGCTAATAGTTCTGCCTCTGGTGTGCCCTGCATGGCTATGTGTGTCTTCAGACCTCGGTTTATCATCCTCTGCTTGATGCGCTTCTGTGCATACTGATATCGACATGGAACCCTGGACAAACAAATTGAAATTTCACAAAAAAGATGAGTAACGCTTACATCAAAAGAGGGCTATTCATGTACATTGTATCTGCTGTCTTATAAGTAGTTCATGGCAAAAAAGGGGTCAATCTGAGAATACCGGACCTACCAGTACAGGAGCACTGTTGCTGTAAAAGATATCATGAGGGCATGGTATGATCTTCTGGGATTGCCTGCAGAAACATACACATCAACATAAGAATAAAACATTTTAGTATACAGCATGAGTCTACAGGTTCACAAGGTCTTGGAACAAACATTTTTTCCACAGTGTACACCAACCAGACCATAGTTTTCATAACGAGTGAAGTAAACATAATGGTTAACGTTACATGTCTGAAAACATTAGATGATTTTCCAGCATACACGTATTTGTAAATTTTGATCCATACATAATTGACAATGCTTACTTGTCCACAAGAAATATGCAAATCCCCCGACGGCTCCTCCTCCCATCCCATACAGAAAAGAGTTCCGTGCACATGGGGTGTTCTGTATGAAATGCTTTGGTCCCTGCAATATGGAGTAAAGTTAAAGAAGTCATCCTCAACTGAGGTAAAGCATATATGCAATGTGGCTTTGCACACCGGGCCACCACTCTTTCATGTATTTGATTTATATACTGTACTGGCTCCTTTAGTTGCCTCGGCTATGGGTAACCCCTACTACTACCTTCTTGGTAAGTGTGTTGGGTTCTTTTACGTGCAGAGGCTGGAGGCCTCAGCCCTTTTTGGTACAGTAGTAACCTAGAGCAAACAGAAGGACGAGGGTTCTAAGTTTATTATTGTTGCTCAGGAATACCAATAACGTCAAGTCTTTATAAAATGAATTAATTAGTTAATTTAACGTTAATAATTTTGCACAATTTTACAGGATCATTCTCTTAAGGGTCATTCTGTCAAATTATAGTCAATAGTGACAGAAATGACACGAACATCCTGTGAACTAAATATTGGTGTCTTGTATACTCCTAAGACCCTTCTCCTAACGGTCTTTAGTTTCATATTAATCGTTAACGTTAACATATAGGATAAATGCGCCGTGGTAATAATTTTGATGTTGTTTCACTCACCCATGTCTTCTCAGTATCGTCGGCCATTTTCCACAAACGAGTCGTTGACAGGTTTCGGCGGTTAAATTATTTGAATAGATATTCAGTCGCAGATGCAGATGGATATGCAAGGTCGAAATCACGCACACCAGCTCAGTGAGCTCGAGTCGACTTCCTGCTTACGTAAGGTCAATAGAGGTCATCACATGTCAAAGGTCAGCGTGTTCAACATGGCGGCGGCGGACGAACTTGGTCGAGATGCAGGTTGTTGTGGAGGAATATATCAGTTGTGAAAGCTTACGTGCATGAAATATGGTGTTCCCTTAACACTGGTTTGATTTGAGGTGAGCGGCAGCAAACACGAGAGCTCCCGAGTATTTTCCCATTTTTACGTCTTATTGTACTAATTTGCTTGGATTTTTCTTCTAGATTAGCCCACAAGTAATACTTGAACGTATTGTGGACTTGTAAAACCGATAAATGGGCTATTCCAAAAAATAAAGGAGAATGGGGGGCGGAAGAGGTTGGACTGGACAGGGGGGTTGGGTCAAATACCTGGACTGGACAGGGGGGTTGGGTCAAATACCTGGAACGGACAGAGGGGTTGGGTCAACCAAATCTGGAACGGACAGGGGGGTCGGGTCAAACAAACCTGGAACGGACAGGGGGGTTGGGTCAAACAAACCTGGAACGGACAGGGGGGTTGGGTCAAACAAACCTGGAACGGACAGGGGGGTTGGGTCAAACAAACCCGGGTTGGAGCCAGACTGGAACTTGGTGGGTATTCAATGGGTGTATTCAGCATTTTATGGTTTGGATTTTATCTCTCTGAACAGTCTTTAATTGAAGGTTGGAGAATGATTTTTTGCTGGATAAAGGACATTATAAATATCATACAATCATAAACATAGCTTCAATATGCATACCACTCTCATATAGAGTCCATATAAGGTCTATAAGATGTACATACTGTAATGTTACAGAGATAAAATTTGTTTTAAGTTAACGCATCAAATTTCAACTGTCCCACACCTTTCATATAAAATAATTTAAGTGACCAAACAGCTCAATCCCATGTCAGACCTTATGGACTTATCAGGTTATAAGTGCCAGGAAGTTTATACTGCCAGCTATCCCTGTTTAGTGATGGTTGGTGTGCTCCTCAATTTGTCCTTAGCTATATAGGATTTCTTCTTTTCTTACATGCAAATATAAATACAGTAGTAGAAAATCTTAATTTAGAAAGTAAAAGTCCTTTTCCTTTTCAAAATTTATCTGAAACAACATTTTACCCCAAGTAATTAGTTGGTTACTGTAAAGTTAACAAGCAAGTGTTGTAAAGTAAACAAGTTAATCCAGCATTCTCTTTCAATGGTTTGCATAACAAAAGGATCAGTCGAATTTTAGCAGTTTCTCTCAGAATGTTATATACCACACATCAAGGTTAATTTCTTTCCATCTATGAATCACTTTTATAACTTCCTAACTTCTTTGTTGATCTAAAAAAATATGTCACGCATGGTAGGGTGACTGTGGAGATTGCAACTTGTCCGTAACATATATTATTTTTGTTCCTTTTATCTAGTTTCGCTATAACTATAGTATAAGCTCCTTGGTTCAACTGAATATGGAGTCAACTGCATAGGTTTTTTGTTTTGCAAATGTTCTTGTAACTTATAAAAGAATAAAAACTGTCTTTGATTTTCTTTTCAGTCATTTAGATAATATTCAAGTGCAAGTGTGAATCTGAGTGTATTACTGTACCAACAACGAATCAAATGAACTGGGTATCACTCACTCCTGTCCATTGTTTTGCCCGATTTGATGCAAACTACAAATCAGGGCTCAAAGTACTGAGGGTGCACCAAAAATTGGAGCTGTACACCCAATCTTTTTCTGAGTGCACCCAGATATTCTGGTAGCCCAATGTTGAAGAAGAAACTGATAGGGATTTTTCAAAGTCAGAAGAAACTGCCAAGGAGCCAACCTGGCTTTTCGTGTGAGGTTTTTAACGCCATCTAGTAATCTTGTTTTATACAGTGCACCCAAAGTCTTTTAATTTTTTTTTATGCACCTAATTGTTTGGGTGATTGAATGCAAAGTTCATATGCCAAATATACCTGACTAACATATGGGTACAATTTCTCAGATAAGACACATTTGTTGTTATTTAGTAGCCTCCACCAGGCTTTTCTGTGGGATTACGGATTGTGGCATGTATATCGGCAAAAAGGATTGGCCTGGGGAGTCAGTCTGTAGAAGGTTGTTTCTTTCCGGATACAATCCAGTTACCCTCCGAAATCAAACCCGAAGGTGGCCAGGCCAAACTAGCCTGGCAAATATTCTCGTAAATAGTCTGGTACTAGTGGTAAAGACTAATTAATTTGG